GGCGTGCTGCAGGGTATTTGTTGTCGTCGTAGAATTGAATTGCATCATACCCCAAGTTTCCAAAGTTAACAATGACAAAGGTCTTGGACTCAAGGAAGTTGTGGCCATATCTTCTGATCGGTATTATTGGCGGTGGAAGTACGAATGGCGGGATACTATCTGCATCTTTAGCACGAGCGCTGGGTGTGAGGGGAGGAGGATGGTTCGCTCTCGGAGGTTCTCGCTGTGTCTCCTTTGGGCTTCCAATCTTGGAGGCCAGGAGTTTCATACACGAAAGATGACCCTCCCATGTCGCGTAATAGAGTGCTGAAAGTCCCTTTTCATCTAAGATTCGTGGATCTGCTCCGCTGTCTAGAAGGGTTTGGAGACACTTAACGCTGCCTTCGCTTGCAGCATGGAATAGCGGTGTCCACTGGTAAAGACTGTCCGGCTGGTCAAGATCTGCACCATAATCCCGCAAAACGAGAAGGAGCTCTGGTGCTTTCGAAAATCGCGCGACTAGGTGCTGAGGATACAGTCCTTCCGCATCGGGTAAGACTCGAGGTTTTCGCTTCAACAACTCTTGCACTACTGGTACAGAACCGTATTGGCAGGCTATGTTCAGAGGTATATGATCTTCCTCAGAGCTGGGATCGATCCTGGCTTGGTTAATTAGCAAGATCTTGACAACGGCAAGATGTGAGTGCACGATGGCGTGGATGAGAGGCGTGAATTTGTCATGATCTTGGAAATCAATGGTCGATGGGTCCGCATTAATTAAACCCTTGACCGTCTCTTCTGAGCCGTGCATGCAGGCATAATGTAGTGGAACACGACCATACACATCAACAGCCTTAACATTGACATTGCCTTGTAATCCAATATCAAGCAGAACTTTGCGGCCGGATATCGCGGCGCGATGGAGGATGTTTCGGTGGTTAATGTCATCAATTTCTTGTAAGTCGACCTGGTTCGTCTGAAGCAGTAGGCTGAGAGCAGCGTCTGGAGCATCCTCGGCAGCACTGAGAAACGCTTGTGTTATTCTTTGCCTTGCATCGGGTACGGTGTTGATTCGCGTTGCCCAATCTTTGAGGACATCGAGGTTACCAGCTGCAATAGCCTGGTAGATCTGTGAATCAAGATCCGCATCATCCTGGGCCAGAGAGCGTGGAGCGGGCTCTTGGTCTCCGTTGGTCATCGTGTATTGCATTCGTTCCCCTTCGCCCCACGCAGCGAAGTCGAGAAGATTGGAGGTCGCTTGATCTGAAAGATCGCTGATGACATCTCGATTGAAGCATGGCTGGACTTCGACAGCTCGGGAAAGGTATCTGACTTTGGTTTCTTGCTATTCAAGGTTATGTTATGCCCAAACTCGATTCACGCAAAAGTCTAACCTTTGATGCTTTATCCCACTTGATGAATAGATTAGCAAGATTCATGGGTCATCAGAAGAATAGTGTACACACCTTCTTCAGGATTTTCGAAAAGCCGGTTTGATTTATCTCAATGAATTGCTATCATCGATTAGTCACCGAGCAGCTACCACAAGAAACGAGACGTACCTGGAGTTTTGTCAAATCGCCACTGAACTGTCGGAAGCCCTCCTCAAGAGCAATGTAGCGGGATGATATTTTGGAAGCAGGCGGTTGTAGGGCTTGCATGGACCTCTTCTGGTCCATCAACGAGGACAAACGTAACTTGAGCTACTGCCCTTTTAGCTATTGGGGACGAGCATACGTGTTAGATCACTTACCTCTGCTTCCTTTTGGAGGTAGAACTTGTTGACTTTCTCCAACTCACGTTCCTTTGCGCTTGGTCAGTGGAAAGGTTCATCTATTGTAGGTTTACAGACAATGCACGTACCAAACGAAAGAAAAAGGTTGCTTTATTCACTTCAAGTGAGACCCTCGCATCCACCACTTCTCCTGACGATCCATCATGGCTTTGCGCTGGCAACACTGGAGTTGCACTCAGCGCTTTGATGAGCTACAAAGTCTGTGAGTAGATAGACCAGAGGACAGGAATTGAATCTTCTACCTTTTTGAGCGCCTTGTAGTCCACAAAGCTGGATGCGTATTCTGGAATCTCAAGTTGCCGTTTCTGAATATGCTTTCCGAACTTCCTATAAGCCAACGAACAAGGCTAGACGTTAGTCAAACTCTAAATACGAATGATCCAGGTCCTACAGACCCCATACCGCTAGATATGCGTGGCGTGTGTAACGAGTTCGGGGAGTGATGACATACATTGTAGTAACCCAGAGCCTAGGGAGGCCGGGCCTGAGGAGTTTCGAGGAATAAGAAAAGCAGGGTTCCACACTTGTCACACCACTGATAGGTCGAAATGGCCTTCGACACGGACGAAGAATTGATGTCGGTGTACTTTCTGGTAGAATCCGAAATTGCCGTGCCCGAGTCCCGCAGGTCTATTTGTCGAACGGCAGCAATGCAAAGAGCCGCAGATGGCAGTGCGGTTAGATTGGTTTTCGAAATTCCAATACTGTTGAAGAAGTGATGCGATGGTCAGCCTGAATTAGAATTTAAAGAATATAACCGAAAACGGAATTGCCGACCGAGTTGAATTATATTAGGGTAGCAACAAGCTCGCCTGATGACCGTGAGATACAAGAGGAGCAGGTTCGATAGGGATTGTCGTCCAACTCTTTCGAGATCCAATCAGTAAACCTCCAAATAATCAAAATACCGCCCTCGGTTACTCCGTACCTACGAATTTTTCTACTGCAGGAGATGATTTCTGTTCTTCCGTAGGTGGTAGTGATCAAAGCTATTCGTCAGCGAATCAACGACAAGGGGTCGCCCACGCGGATATATGTGATTTGTCGATGCAAGTAAAAGCGCCGCAATCGCTAATAGAAAACTACCTAGAAGTTTTTGTTCATGATAGAATGTTGATGGGCATGATTTGAGGTCTCTCATCGATGTTTGCGACGTGACGATGTTTCACGATCTGTGAGAGTCGGTTGTCGTTGTTTTTGAGTTCCCCGTTTCCTCCACAATTTATGCTCCCAACAAGCCAGTAAAACCCAACCACGAGATATTTGCGACTATAAACAACGATTTATGCAGATGATAAGGCAACTTTGAACCTGCCTTAAAACTTTCTGCTTGTCCTCTCATCTCATGCAGCAGAATACGGACCGACGCTAGAAGATGAGTGGTCTCCCCGTATTAGGCAGGGGGTGGCCCCCGATCGGGTCCCTAAATCCCTACCCCATGATAGATTACTTGGTCGAGAGAGGCAGCCTTGCTTTCAGAGCCACTTCTGACAGGATAGTACGTTCACTCTATTCACTCAGGCAATAGCCATCATTCATTACAGTGAACTCTTCTACCGGACTGAGGTTGTCCTTCCTTCGCGCCCACTGCTGACATAGCCTTGTGGTTGATTCACTGGCATGAAGATGACAGCCATTGCCTCTCTTCGGCCTCCTGTGCAACTCTGACGGTGGCAGTACTGTTATCTCTCCATTGAGATGATCAGACCAGCTTGAGAGTCCCTCAGAGCCCATCTTGAGGTCGCATCACTCACTGACCAGACCCAGCCTAACCTAGACAGTGACCATTACAAATCCAACGAAGCATTCTTTCATACCATCCGAGCCTGCACATCACCCACATAGAAGCCTTCGAGCTCACGCATCGCGTTTGGAAGACCATCGATAGAGACAACTTATTCCCGCCTAATTCAACACCCCTTTTGCCGAATTGCAGCCAGACCTTAGAACCGACTAGACCGTACGACAGAGCTATCACGAAAGGTCATCCCATCCTGATCCCACAAGCGCCGCTACCTAGTCCTCCCTCCTACCTCAGCTCGCTCGACTGTGAACGAGCACGATTTGGTTTACTACCTTCGCGGCAACATGATCGTGTCGACCCATATTTATCCACTTTACCGACATCCTTTACCTCAAGAAGGCCAAAGAATGTTGCTCTGTTGGGTATCATCCATGCCTCATACGAATGGTGACTGACGGATCTCCGTCCATCTCTGCCACTAATATGCTTCAAGTGCATAGCTTCAATTGGGGTTTTCGCACCCAGAACAACGCGCTACCTGTGTTTTGAAATGCTGTACGCAGCAATCAAAATCATATCTTCCAGCAGCCGCAAGTACTTCAACCCGCTTCTCACCCCTCCTTCAAACTAAGCTCTTCTTGCAGAAAGTACAAGTGTCCCATAATGCTCTCCGTATCAACGAAAAGGATACTTCCACTCAGATGCGTATACCCACGATACCTATAGCCTTTACCACACTTAGCCTTAGATGCGCTCCCAGGGAAGACCAACGCCATCCGCTCTCGCAAGGAGACCTCATTCACTCATGACTCACAATAGCAACAACTCTTACGTATCACGCTCTCCTTTAGGGGAGACGGAACCTGTACTCTTACGTATCACGCTCTCCCTTAGGGGAGACGAAACCTGTACTCACATAAGCAGCACTTGCATGATGTCAACCACCACCTCTAAATATCCCATCAGTAGCTTACAACTCATACTACCTTCAAGCCTTTCTTAGGTCTCTCAGCTAAGGCCATTATGATACTGTACGTCCTGGATTTGACAACATCGCGCTATTGTCGAGCACCACAGCTAGCAGAAGAAACACCATCCTGGAATTCCGGCTCACACTGGGGTGGCGAGGGACAGCGCAACTACCACCCGCACAGGTCATAAGTAGATAGCGTGTGCGAATGTGCGAGGAATTAGTACATTTTTGTGTTTCGTGGTCAAGCTGGGAGTTACTTTCCTTTTTTGACTGCAGAATCGCAGCCTAAGTATTTTGCTAGGTAGTCGCTACGGATAATCAGCTGTATCCACCTCCAAGAAAACATACTGCTCGTGAAATCTAGTAGTATCGCGCAGTCCCAGTGAGCAACCTCGTGTATTATGCTTTTAGAGAACTTAGCAAGCCAAGCACTACTTACCCGTTTTTCTTTTGCAGATTCAACCCCACTGCCATATATACCCATTCGAGCGATCTCAGCATAAGTAACTGGACATATGGCGCAATGGCAACGCATTTGACTACGAATCAAGAGATTCCAGGGTATGTTCTGCAGCAAACAATCCCGTCAAGCAAACAAACAGCTAACATCATAACAGTTCGACCCTGGTATGTTCAACAATAGCTTTTTTTGGGCTTAAGATTTTGGTACTGTGAGGAAGCGGCTCTTCTTTCATCGACACGGATGTCCTTTCACCTTTTCGTTCCTGGTTGAAACTGGTGATAGCTTACAAGACCTCAAACTATGAGCTAAAGAGGTTATTTCTGAGCAGTTCTTGGTTTGCATGTTCAGGGATTCTAGTACTGCCAGTGCGACCTCCAGCTAGTGTTCGTCAGCTAGGTAGTCCTTTTTTAAAGTCCGAATGAAGTAGTATATCCTCCGAAAAGTGCGGATATATTCAATTTCACCTAGCAAGAGAGAATATAGAATGATAGAACGGTGTGACTTTACCATGGCCTCATACTCGGCAGTTCACATCGCTTTCATCTCCAGCTAGGAAGTATCCCTCCATGCAATCTCTATCCTGACCACCTAGGCCTCTCACTCTCCAACTCATCCACCAGCCCCAACGGTAACATCCCCTTCTTGCCGATCTCAATTCCCCCAAAAATCTTTACAACCTCACCTCCCTATAGATTCCTCACCCATGTCCAATATGGATCTCTCAGCTTCCCCATCTCTTGACCCGAATATGTGAAATCCGCAAAAGGAGCAGAATCACCCCACCCCTCTAAATTATGCATCACCGTTGGTTGAAGAAGGGCATTAAACGCTGAACCCAGATTCGTGGAAGTTTCTTCCCGGAAAGAAGTGAATTCTGCAAGAGACAGAAATTGCTCTGCAGAGTCAGAGACTTGGTCTGGAGGATAAGACGCCAGGCGTGTGTCACCTTGTTCGAATCTTTTCTTGGCGGCTTCGTACTCTTCCTCGTCTTCTTCAAACGCGCGGCGAATCTCATCTTCCGGGAGTGTCTTTTTCACTTGTATGTCCCTCACTGCATTGAGTGGAATCAACGGATTGCGGACTCCAAGACCACCGAGTCTGGTAGGGAAGAAAAGGAATCCATCAGGGACGTTGTCGACCCCAAAACGCGCCTTGATCTGACGGCGAAGGAACTCGTTGACGGAGCTGCAGTCCTCTTCGCCAGCAAGGAGTTCCTGGAAAAGGGTGCGTTGGATGTCAGCGAAGGCTCTGGTGACCATCTCCACGTGTTCGACTCCGAAGCAAGCCGCCGGTCGTCCCATGTTGGTAGCTAAAAAGCGACAGACGTAACTATTCCAAGCTTGAATCCAGGCAAAGACCGAACGACATGTTTTGAGTTGACGGTGGAGCTCTGCGACATGCTCTTTTATCTTACTTTCATCAACGAGCCAACGACATTCTGAAGGATCCAGTCGGAGAAAGCCCCATGTGATGTCCCCGGCTGGTAGCCCCTCCGCCAGTGGTCGAGCAACAGGTTGGTCTTCAAACACCTGAACAGACCCAGTTTTCTTCTCATTCAGTTCCAAACCCATGACTTGAGAAAAGTCAAGCAGGGCCTTCCAAGCTCTGATGCAGACACTCTCTTGACCCCAGAACAGAAGATCATCGTGGAAGCGGTAAAGGTCCGAACCACCAGATTTTTGGTTGACAGCAAAGTCCAGACAGAATAATACTGCTTCACCAAGGGCGTCACTCAAGACATGGCTCATTGGAATACCTCGCTTGCGGGTAGTTACGGAACCGGAAGGACCGTCCTGGCTCCAGACCGTGGGCGTTTCTAAGAATGCGCGGAAAAATGTCAGCCATTGAGACTTTATACCTAAAAATTTGAGTACCGCAAAAATGGTGTCGTGAGGCATAGCAGGACCGAACCACTTGAAGTCCGATTGCACAATGGTAAACTCGCCATACAGCTTCTTATTGAGAAGCAAATCTGTTGTGGCGAGACGATGCATCGACTCCTTGATCTCAAGTGGCGACTTGCTAGTATCAGCAACATGTTTCTGCGAGTAACTGATCAGATCTTCCTGATGGCCATCGTCTCCATGGTCACGACTTGCTGTCTTGAGTGCATTGGGCAGTTGAGTCATGAAGAACTCGGTGTGGTACATTCTTCTACGCGTATCCCTGACTGTGATTTGTCTATTCCTCGCAACACGGGCAGCAGGGCCGAGGAAATGCTCTCTTCGACGACGAGATTTGCGATCCATGGCGCGAAATGGGGTTTGACTCCACGCTCCGGAGTGGTAGAACGCCGTGAAAGCTTTCTTCATATAGACTGACCATCTCGCACCAATGAAGTGAAGAAACAAGGCTTGATGGATCTCTTCATGGTTATACACGCGGTATTTACCGTTGAGTTGGGGACGCATCGAGAGTCGAACTGGAGCCGGGTCCCATTTCCAGTCTTCGATTCCGTCCAGGTCCATGTTCAAGACATCGGCCATCTCTTTCAGTACTGCAGGGCAACTCTTCAAGTCAACAAGAGCCTTGCGTTTCTGCCCAGCGAATAGGTCAGACTGGATGACACCGTCAATGCACCACCGGACGATATCCTCAGTGAACCGCTTCGGTTCCATTACGTCAAAATTGCTCATGGTGGTTTGAAGTTGGTGTAAGGGAGTCTCTTTGACTTTCTTGGCTTGCTTAGCGGATGAAAACAGATCATTGAGGTACTCGTCAATGGCTATCTGATCACGCTCCAGTCCTACAAAAGCATAAGACTCCCATTCCTGGCGTTGTTCGTGCATCTCCTTGCGGCCAACAGGCTCGAAAGAGTCAGATGTGGAAGTAGAATCATAATTGGAATCGTCGGTATCAACCTGTTGTTCGGTGGAAGCATTCAATTGCTTGATAGCATCATTAGGATTCTGCATCCATTCTGTAACTAACTTTCCAAAAAGTGAAGCATACTCGTATTTCACACCCTGAATCTCAATGTCCCGTTGCAACGTCTGCTCCCACTCAACCAAGAGGGAATTCGATACAGAGGGATCATGTTCGGCTTGAAAAAAGGAAACGTTCGACGTTCTTGATAGACATGCCGTTGCGCCCAGTCGTGATACCATAGGTTTTGCAACCATGTAATAAAGCTTGGATTTGTTCTGTTTTGGTGGATTTGGAGGCGACTTGGTATTGGATATATGCTTTTATCTCGTTGTATCTCTCGATCTGCGCGGCAATTTTCTTTAATTTGCGGTCTGTGACATGGTAAAGAGTAGATCGAACAGCGGAATCCATAATGGAGTGGTGGGAGGTTCAAGAAAGTATTGTTTGAACTCTGCGAACGTGGAGAACTTTTGTTGTATCAAGGAAAGAAGACAGCGAAGTCTGATCAGACTATCACTATCCGCTGATACCAACCTTCCTTTATATAATCCCAGTCCCTTTATACTTTGCAAACCCCTCAACGAACAGAGCCTATATAAGTTTGCGCGCTGTCTCAAAGAGAGTAGAATAGAAGAGTCATACAACGCAAGACAGGTGCCTAAATCTCTTTTATACGGCAAACAAATATACTGGACGATGCTGGATCAAACTCAATGAGGGAAAGAATGCAAAATAATGGTAAAGATGAGCCAAGAGAGGCCTGAGGAGGCGTAAAGGTGACCGATGAGGAAATGTGGTGACTCGATTTCGAGCCTAGGCACCAGTGAGGCTGCCCTGCCATATTACTGCATGCATTACCGGGTCAATAGCGAATTGAATTCGATTTGACTTTTGGGTTTCCGTATTTGAATCTCTGACCGTGGTAGCTCGGCTAGGTTTTCCTATGTTCCATCATCTGATTTTGGAAAGACAAGCAGTAGTACGGTATAAGATGCGACTCACAGATCTTCATTTCTGCAAGACGACCTTGAAGTAAACTGCCGAAAGGACAATTCCTCTAACCAACGAGAGTCATACCACTACGGACCCCTTGGAAGTCTACAGAACTATCCAAGAGCTCCATATCATTTTTCCAATCCTAATAGCTTCTGGCTATAAATAAAATCAGCAGTTCCAAGCGCTCGCTCTCACTAGGTACGAACAACAGACTCACCATATCAACAGGGAAGGAACTTCTAGCCCAAAAATCGAAGCCTAAAATAGTCTGTCGAAAATAAAGGTACTCAATTGAGAATCGACAGCTCCGCTGAATGAGGATATAACGCCTCCCGTCGCCACGCTATGCCATATAACCAATGATTTCGTCCCTGGATCGTGAAGTCCGCCCAAAACCATATACCAAGGATAATTACCCCAAAAATGCCCAAAAACGCTTTCACCTATGCCCAAAAAGACTTAATTCCAATTCGCCGCCATCTCCATCGTCATCATCACCCTCATGCACAATCTCTTCTTCATCAGTATCATCATCATCCTCTTCCGATCCAGAACCATCTTCAGAATCATCACTCCCCTCAGAACCATCCGACGAATCATCCTCCTCAGAATCAACCCACCACTCCCCATCATCGACCCAGTCCCGCTCTGCCTCACCAGCATTTCCACCCCGAAACCGTATAGGAACTGCATCGATAATCTCGCCATCGAAGTAGTGCCGTATAGGACTCAGACCCCTCGAAACCCTTGCAAGCATCTCATAAGGATTCAAATTAGGCAAGTTCGGCATATTAGGCATATTAGGCAGACTCGGCATCCCAAACCCCGAATCACCACTCCTAGCCGAAGAAGGTCGTTCCAACGCCGCAGAATCATCCATAGCTTCAAAGTACGGCCGTACATTCAGCGGTGCATTAACACGTCGGGGTATATCGAAATTGCGGGGGTTGTTAGCCCAATTCCTCTGTTCAGCTTCTCGTCGTTCCCTCGCTTGAGTAGCAAAATCTTCTACACCCCTCTGAACGGCCGTATCCCCAATCATACGTACCTCAACCGTATTAAACCCATCGCAAACGGCGCACCGACAACCTAACCAGTGAAAGCCCACCGCGGAACGTCCACCACAATCGTTACATCTGACTTCCATTCTCGCGTCTTCGAATTCCCGTGGCATGGGTTGCCGTCTTATTTCTTCGTCTAATTTTCTCCATTGCGTTTCCATGTTTACGGCTGAACGTTTGCATATGGGACATTGGTAGGAAGAGAGCATGAGTTGGGAGTAGCATGCGTGGTGGAGGTAGTGGCCGCA